AGTAAGTGGGGCACCAGCCCCATATACCAAGGGTATCGGGTTCAAACCCGGCCCCAGCCAAACTGCAACAAAAAAATAGCTGGGTGTTGTGGTGGGCGCCTGTAGTCCCAGCTACTTGGGAGGCTGAGGCAAGAGAATCACCTAAGTCCAAGAGCTGGAGGTTGCTGTGAGCTGTGACACCATGGCACTCTACCAGGGGTGACAAAGTGAGACTCTGTCTCTAAAAAAAAAAAAAAAAAGAAAGAAAGAATACAAAATAAATAATTTTAAATAAGGAGGAGAGTGAGGATGGAGACTGTTCCCCAGTCACTGGGAGTGAATCGCCCAGGACACAGACATCCCCAGCATTAATCAGGTCACACCCACCTGCCCAGCCAGAGGCCTTCCATTTGCCATTTCTAGGGCTTTCTTCTTCACCCCAGCTTCCAAGGGCCCCCAGGGCTGAGGGAGGGTGTTGCTGCAACAGCCATGGGGCCTTTAGTTAAATTAAACAGGCCATCCCTAGCATCTCTACCTCTGCATCCATACACCGATTCATCTGGCAGAGGGGCTTGCCTCAAAGACACACCTGAGAGGAGGCAAGGAAGATGATTTCTCCCCAGAGAGCCAGTGCCTGCCTTTCCTTCTGCCTAGCCTGAAAGAAATGATGTGGGCCTAAGGCTCTAAGGTAGACGTGGGCAGGAGCTGGGTGGTAGCTCAGGTGGCCCCAAAGCTCCCAGCCCTTCCTGCCACAACACACAGGAGGGATGGGGAGGGAGGCTGCCCTGAGGGTTCTTGTCCAGGCTGGAAACAGGCTGCTGAGTGGGAGGAATGCTGTGAGCACACCTCCTCTGAAGGTCTGCCTACTTTCTCTTTGGGATGGCCGACCCAGGACTAGCTCAGGAGGGTGCTGGGAGGGAAGGGTCCAGCCTGAACCAGTTTAAGAAGGAAAGTCCTCTGGCACAGGTCCAGCAGGCTCCTGATTCACTCTCTCAGGTGCCAGAGAGCCAGAGTGGGGAGGTGCCTCCAGGCTTCCTCAAAGGCAGTCTTAGACCTACTTCTCAAAGCTCACATCCAGGGCTACAAGGCTTCACGCTGGCTCAGTGTGGACCTTGGGGCTTGGTGTTCTTAAGTCCTGGCTTGTGACCTTGGCCTGCTCTCCTTCTCTAGGTCTGAGCATTTCCATTGGTGAAAAGGGAATGGACTCATTCGCCTCTGCCAGCTTCTCCAGGCGGTGAGGGGACAGAACAGCAACTTGTTTTGCTTAAGGAATTTTAGGTATTTTAAATAATCATCCCTCAGGGAGAGCGTAGTGTAAGTACAGGGCTCTGAGCTAAGCATGTCACCCTGATCTCCCACCACAGCCTGTGAGGTAGCACTCACTGTCTTCATTATGCAGATAAGGAAACTGATACTCAAAAGGACAAAGTGATTTGCCCAAGTAGAGCAACAAAGAAAGGGCAGACCTGAATCTGACCCAGACCCTGATGTGAACTTGGCCACAGTTGGCCATCAGCTCCCCCTAGCCATGCTGTGTCATTCTCAGGCCTCCCACAGACACTTGGGAGAAGGGCTTGTCCTTAAATCACAGTCCCAAGATAGAAGTCCCCCGAGTTTTACAGAACTTGGAAAACTACCCCAGGTACCACTGGCATCCAGTCTGAGAGGAGCCTACAGAAGACCCTGGTACCCTGAGATCTGCAGAGTTGCTTGACTTCTGTGTTCCCTTTCGCAACTGTCATCCCTACACATTCTACACAGAGCCCTGGGTCTCTCCTGGCCCCCTGGTGTGAGTTACTGTGAACAGATAACAATCTTTCATTGGAATAATCTCACTGGCCAGGATGATTTTTTTTCTCAAACTTTACTTTCTGAAGCTTAAGTATAAAATTATATCATTCATTCCTTTATTCAAAAGGTATCTATCATGTACCAGGCTCTGGGGAGCACAGTAAAGCAGACAAAATCCTTGCTCTTGTGCAGTTTCATTGGCTTCTTCCAAATGTTGTGTAAGTTCTGGGATGTGGGAAAATCATCTGCTAGGAATGAGGCTGGTGGGATTCCCTGCCGTTTCTAGGCCAAGGGAGAGAAGAGGCGGCTGCATGTGGGGTGGGCTCAGTATAGAGCTGGATGTATAGATACTGCTGTAGCCAACTTTCCACCCTGCCAGAAGAGATGGTCGTGGACTCCTAATGGCATCTGACCTTGCCTCTGCCTCCGCCCTAATTTTAGTCCTTATGAGGCATTCCTGACAGGAGGCTGCCTGCACTCTGCTTGCATATATCAGTAATGGGGGCTTATCCCTCCCCCAAGGCCGCTGCCTTCTTTCTCTCTTCCTCTGTTTCCCAGGCTGGAGTACAGTGGTGTCATCACAGTTCACTGTAACCTTGAACTCTTGGGCTCAAGCAGTTGTCTGCTTGAGTTGTTGAGTTATTGATAAGCTGCCACAGCTGGCCCCAAGACCCCTGCCTTCTGTCCCTCTGTCCCACACTATTCCACACTGCTTATCCTTTGTATAAAGCTGAACTCTGTCTCCTGTTCCTCTTCATGTGACATGAGAGGCAAGACAGGCAGCACCCCAAAAATACAGTGGGGGAAGGGAATTTCATATCTTTTTTTTTTTGTCCAGTTGTCACCTGCAGATTAGGAGGGTTCTATACCCAAGGCCATGGTCCTCATCCCCATTGCCTGCCCAGGTCCACTGTATTCAAGTTTGGAGAGTCCACAGGAAGCTGGGACTGCTGTCCAGAATTCCCAGGGTTCTGCTGTTCTACTTAAGAGACCCAGAGCGATGTGTTATGTGCCAGGGCAGAAGGCACTGCACATGTAACAAGCCACAATGTCTGGGCTCCTTGCTTTGGTCACTGTTCCTACACCACAGGCCTAAGTGAATCCCCAGGGGAGAGAGATAATGGGCTGTTGTTTAAAAGAATTTAAAGATAAAGCTCATTCAGTTGCTTATGTCAACACTCCAGCTGAATGAGAGGGCAAAGAGACAGGCTGGCAGGCCAAGGAAGGTCAATATTGACTCAGGCCCTCCTCTCAGGCCCAGGTCCAGCTGTGCCATGCTGTGGTCCAGCAGCAGCTCAAGCCAGACCAGTTCTCTGACCTGTGTAAACTGTACCTGGAACCCCAACTTCTGCCCATCTCCCTCCAAGTGCCTGAAGCTTATCTGGCATGGGGTTATTTCCAAGGTAAGATCTGAAGAATGGCCTTTCTGGCATGGCTGTAGGCCAGGGACCTTCTTACTATCCCAGATTTTCAAAAGCCTCTGCACACCAAAGACGGGAGTCCCCAGCATGGAGTCCTCAATGCCAGCCATGAAGGAACCTCTGGAGTCCCTAAACACAAGACTGCCTTTTATAGTCCTTACCTTTCCAGTCTCTATTCTGTTTACCTCCTCACTTTACACTCATAATACCACCAAGAGATGGGCTGAACCTGTTTTACTGGGCCCATTTTAAAACAGCAGGTGGCTGGGGAGGAAGGAGGAGGCAGAAAGGAAATATACACATATAAAGTGCCTCTCACATGTTGATACCATGCTGAGCACTTTTTATTGGTGTATCTAACGGTTAATGGTAGATAGTATGAGTTCCATTTTACAGAGGCTCAGAAACAATTAATTGTCCAAGATAGTAAGTGTGGAACTGGGATTCAAAGCCAGATCGCTTCAACTCCAAGGTCTCAGCTCACCCTCATGGGTCAAATGACCTGCCCTGGATCACACAGCTATGTAGAGCCAAGACAGAACTGGAAGCTTCAAGCCAAAGGCTCCCTCTGCCATAGGCAGCACCTCTGGCAACCATACAGAGGGTGCTTTTGTTTCTGCCTCATCCCTTTTCCAAAATCATCCCTTCCCCAGGTGACCAGGTTCAGAGAGCCCGAATTAGCACTTAGCAGTACTTGATCTCCACAAACCCTCTGCCCTTACTTCATTCCTATTGCTTGTTCTAGCGCTCTCCAATAGTACCCTGCCACATAGCCAGGGTGTTCTCAAAGTTCTTCAAAAGAGGAAGGCTCAGGATCAGTATTTTCCAAGACTAACAAATGGAGGCTGGTGAGGTGGTCCACTGCTGGGGCAGCTCCACATTTATCATTATACTTACCCCTCACAGCTCTGAGGAGACATTATCATCCTCGTGTTACATGAGGACATTAGAAAGTTTGCAGAGAAGTGAAGCAATTTGCCTAAGGAGTCAGGATTTGAATGGACCGCTTTCTGGTTCCAGATGTGTTCTCAGCCACTGTCCCGTATACTATGGTCAGAGAACCCACAGCATTGCAATATATGCTGCATAGGCCACAAAACTGAGCACAGACTCAGACCTGATCCCTCTCCCTTCCCCCACCTAGAAAAAAAAAGTCTGAGGAGCTTGAAAAAACAAAATGAAACCCCAGAATAGGGCAAGGGACAGAAAATGTAGCCAACACCCTGGGAACTCTCCAGGTCTTAGACCTTGGATTTCTTGGCAGAACCTACACTGCAGATCAGATGCTTCTGGCCTGGTGTGGGAGGAGCTGGGGGACTTCAGCAGGTCTGGAGGGCTGGGGAGTGGGCAGGCAGCTGTGATGTGCTGAGTAGCACCTCTGCCTGCCACTCCTGGAGGAGCCTCCTGTGGCTGCCTGCCACCCTGGTCATCACAGTCACTGGGCCAGCTGTTCCCCTTCCTGCTTGGGAGCCTCTTCCCTAAGTGTGAATTCAGTATGCCCTGCCTCAGTGACATAGCCTCACCTCAGACAGGCATCAGCCCTGATGACAATCAGGGGGCAGGCCAGGATGGGTCATTTTAAGCCCTGTGGGCCCAGCAGTTTCCCACGGTGCTAAGGTGGTGGAGGTGACTTAACAGGCACCCACTAAAGATGGAGAAGTGGCACCTAGAAGGGACCACTGCCATTGGCTAACAATACCATTAGGGAGACAGGCCAGGAGGGCCACATGCCTGCCCACTGTGTCCCTCCCAGTCTGTCCTTCAAGAAATTCTGGAGAAGGCTGGGGCTGGAGGGCCCTCACTCACCGCCTCCCCGCGCCTTCCTCCCTCCGCCTCTTCTTCCTCTGCCTCCTCACCCTTCAGTGGGCGGCTCTCTTAGGCGTTGAGGAGAGGGAAGACCAAGGACCTTCCTGGGCCAGTCCTCCGCAGGCCTGGGAGGAAACATACCAGAAAAACATTGTGACAAATGTAGCAAGTGTCCCTGCGGATTTTGCTACTGGCTGGAGTCCAGGGCGTTGGGAACCGCCCCGCGCGGGTCTCCGACAGACTACCCGACTCAGGTGCAGGAGGCACAGCGGGGCGCACGGGAAGGAGGGGACATTGGGTACAGCTCCGCTTCCGGGGCCGGCCCCTCTCCCCGCCACTCCCGACCCAGTACAGCCACCAGGAATCTGCTCGCGGGACCGAATGCGGTGCCCCCCAGCGCCTGGCGGGTGCCCGGGGGGCGCCGCGATCTCGGTGTCTGCGCTCTAGGTCCTGGTGCTCGGCCCAGGTGCGAGGGACCGCGCACGCGGGGAGGCCTGTCCCCTCGTCGCAGCCCTGGCCCACAGAGGGTTCGCCGGCCTTCCAGGGCGGCCGGGGCACCCACCTGCCAAGCGGGAAGCCCGGGAACGCTCGGAGGGGACGTAGGAGCCGGACCCGCCCTCCGCGGGAGGGACCTCGGCGCCGGGAACTACGAGGAGGGGCGGCGCTCGGTTTGCGCCGCGCCTGCTTCACCTGGCCGCGAGTTTGATTTCAGGGTGTGGCCTCAGGTAGGACATGGCGAACCCAGAGCCCGGGAAAAGTCACCGAGGGGCGCCGGACCCAAGGCGAGGAGCCTCTGTCTCCGAGGGGCACCACCTTGTCCAACTCCTCTTTCCCTCCCTGAACTGGCCGCACCCGCGGCGACTTCGCCTCTGCCTCGGCCTCCTACCGCCCCACAGCCACGCCGCAGAGACGACCTGGATTATCCGCTGAGCGCGGGCCAGGTGTAATTAACTCGTGGATTTGCATTGCGGGTGCGCGCTCTGGAGCCCGGCAACTCTCAGACCTGATGATTGTCCAGGCCCACTCTATCATGCCTGAGGACCCAAGCTGGAGTCCTAAAATTTGGCGACTTGGCCAGTCTGTTCCATCTGGACAAGCCTGTCGTGGGGTAGTCCCGTTGTGCAGGCAGGAAAGCGGGATTTAATAGGACTTCAATTCCCTTATCATACCTTGCTCAGTCCTGAGAACCTTCTAGCCTCAGGGGTCTAGGGTAGGAGACCTTGGGGGAGAGAAAGCTTTCAGAAGTATCACACTCCCAAAGAGAGGACGAGCCCATTCATGTGCCCTCTACCTGCAATTTTGTTCCAGAGTTGGCATCCCTTGGTGGTCCCCAGAAATGGCCTGGCTTAAGATCAGGATGTCCATTCCCAGTGGCTTATTCCTGCCTATGCTTTGCCCTGTTTCTTTGGGGGAGGTGGGGCGAGAGTGGTTTCTATGTTGGGGCAGGGGCAGAGGTCACTTGTTTGTCTCTTCCCCAAACAAGGTGGTGAGAAGACCCTTGTTGTCCTTGCCTTGGGGCCCCAGAGAGGGCTGTGTGGGGACTGAATAATGAGGGATTCTTGGCTTGGAAATTCAGCACATACAGACCCCAAATGGCAGCCTTCAAGAGGTGTCTGGGTGACTGCCAGTGTGACAGAGTAGGGACCTGCAATAGCGCAGATTTTTTAAATCATCATTGGACACCTCAAACTTTAGTTATTAACTGAGGTCACTATTACCACATATCATTTTGTTCACCAATTCTTTAGAAATGTGAATGCTCTTTACGGATAAATCATTGCATTATGTGCTCTATTGCTTTTGCAGTTTCCTCTAAGGATCCCGCCAAATAGAGCTAAGGAAATCTGTGGGAACCTGCGGGCCCCAAACCGATCTGCATCCTATCTGGTGGCACCACAGGCCTGATGTCCTCAGCTTCCCCAGAGAAGGCATGGTGACAGGTGGAGATGCTGGCCCTCTGTGCCATGGGAGAGTGGCTCGCAAGGGGGGCAGTTAACCACAGGTTCTTGCTGCCCCTCCCCCTCCATTTAGATTTAGTCTCTGTTCTCCTCTCCTCACTCTGTCCCTCTCCTCCTTTCTGTGTCTTTCCTAAGTGGATTCCTTCTCTTTCCTCTGACTGGACAACACTGTAGGCCTGACCCTCTTAGATAAACCCTGGTGGCCACCTAGGAAGCTGACTGCTGAGCCTGGGATGAAGGGGCCATGTGAGAGGGAGCGGGCAGGTATGGCTTTCCCCACAGATTAGTTATCCAGGGACACAGGTGCACTGGCTGAAGGCTAGCAAGCAGATTGTGCTGCAAGGTAAGGGTGGGAGGAATGGTTGCTGAAGATTTGAAATGCACTGTCACCCAAAGCTAGAATGAAATGCATTATGTTGTTAAACCCAGAATCAACACTCTAAATTATTTTTACTGACCCATGAATGCACATGTGAATTATTTTCTTTTACTGCATATGCCTTATATACCAAAACCACAACCCCAAGCAATATTTTTGAACTGTATTACAATAAGGTATGAATATTAGAATATTATCTGAAATGAACTTGTATTTAATTGGGTTTGAATCCAGGCTTGGGTATCCCAGAATTACTATTATCCAAGTCTTCTCCTCACCCTAGTGAGAGTCAATCTAGAAAACCCTAGGTTCCTCCTATCTTTAGGAGCTGCAGTGAGACTTGGGGGCTCGAGAGATAGAAAGGCTCCAAGGAAGACTGATCAAGGAGGTAATGAATCCCTATCACTGGCAGTATTCGAGAATAACTGTCAGTTATATAGGTCAGAGAAAAAAGTTCCCATACTAGATACAGGACTAGACTAGGACCTCTCAAGCCCACAACAATGCCAAGGTTTTGCACTTCCAGTCTCTTCTTTACATGCTTTAGCTGCACGGGGTTGGATGACCTCCCACACGTTGGGGTGGGCTGGGGGATGCAGGGTGGGTCTTCAAGGACTAATTCCTGTATGTGACTCTCCCTCTTCTCTATTCTCCTCTGATCCATGCCCAGCTCAGCCCTGTGCAGGAGGAGAGGCAGAAAAACAGTATAAGAAGTGTCAGGAGCAGTCTGCAGGACAGTGTCTCCTCCAGCGTCCCCCTGGCCCTGTTCCCAGGTTGCCCTGCTGAGCACAGGGGGGCACCAGACACACCCTCCTTTGAAGAGCCTGGGCTGGCACAGACCTCCTGGTTGAGGGAGTGATCCAGACACTGCCATTCTACAAATTGGGCGGGAGCTCCACACAAAGGCACCAAGGACAGACATCTCACCACAGGAAATGGCTCTTGGAGTGCTGCCAGCTCTGAGGCATTGGCTGACCAGTGTGGTCTGGGAGGGCATCAAGGCAGGCTTGTTGGGCGGGGCTGGCACTTCCCGGTTATCTCTCAGCCTGTGGCTGTTGGGGCCTGTTGTAACATCTGAGCACCAACAGCCAAGGCCGAGAGCCCAGGTTGGGGCCAAAGAGGAAAGATATGAATCGACTTGTGGTTTAGAAATACAAACACATTATCTTTTCCCTGTACCTTTCTGCTCCATGACTTGAAAAGCTTCCTGAGGATCAGGAATGCTACTAACAAGCTTACTCCTTCCAGGGAGCCTTTCTCTAGATGACTCCTCTAATAATAGTAATAATGATGCCTGCCAATTATTGTAATGCTTCCGATGGGCCAGGCCCCATGTTAAGCTGTTTACGCATATTATCTCACACAGTCTTCACAACCTTGGGATGTAAGTACTATACGTTTATTATCCTCGTGTTATCATAAATATGAGGAAATGGAGGCTCAGAGTGATTAAGGAACTAGTTTAGGTCTCATAATTACTGCTATATAGACCGAGTGTTTGCATCCCTTCAAGATTCATATGTTGAACTAAATCACCAATGGGAGGGTATTCGGAGGTAGGGCCTTTGGGAAGTGATTAGATGGTAAAGGCAGAGCTGTCATAAAGGGGATTAGGAGGCCTTTATAAAAGAGGGCTCAGAGAGTCCCAGGCCCTTTCTACCATGTACAGATATAGTGAAAAGACAACATCCATGAACCAAGAAATGGGCCCTCAACAGATACCACATCTGCTGCTGCCTTGATTTTGGACTTCTCAGCTTCCAGAACCATAGGAAATAAATCTCTGTTGTTTACAAGCCACTGAGTCTGTGGTATTTTTTTATAGTAGTCCAAATGGATGAAGCCAGTTATTGAGTGGAAAAGCCATATTTTGAACCCAAAGCCTGTTTTTTTTTTTTTTTGTTTGTTT